ACCTCTGCAACCACCATGTATGTAATGGCACTTTAGATACGGCTGGAACATTTAAATCAATTATGACCTATTTGACAATTATGCAATATTTATAACACCTTTCCAAGAGGAGTAGAGCAAAAGAACATAAGCTGATGGTTATACTGGAGGGACTCTCATCTTCTGTGATTAAGCGTTTCTTTTCTCTCTCTTTTTAATTATTAAGTTCAAAAGTCTGCATTCTGTATAATGCAATTTACTTGTTTTTGTTTAAAGTCGACTTAATGATTAAATAAGTAGAAAGATCAGTTATTATATTGAATTATATTATTATTATTATATTGAATTATTTGTAATTCAATTGTATTTATGTTATGATAAAACATCACAAATCAACCCAGTTTATTTAAACATCCGTTGATATGATAAATAAAAAGTAAATGACGTAAACGCACCAAACAGACATCTATGTTTATAGACGCCACATTCTCCTAACATTATTTTCCATTAAAGTGTATAAAGCTTTACATGTAAAACATATTGCATGGATATTAAAATAGACTACTTCCAAAATACATGTGTGAATGAAATATGGTAGAAAATTGCTTTGAAAGTGAATGGCTCTTGCACAAAATCATTGCTAAACCGATAAAAATATCAAAATAATTAATATTTTGTTTTGGACCTTTTTTTCTGTTTACGTGTTCTATTAATGTAACAACAGAGACAGTCTTTATTACAACTCTTCCACCATAAGATTATAGAAACAATATAATTTTACTGTTTACATTTTATAAAAATATTGCATGAGATATAGCTGTTGATGAACAATAACTTTCGATTTTGTATTTTCTACTCCTAATTCTGAAGAAGTAGTTTACGATTTGTTTGTTTTTGCTATAATAACTTCAACTTTCAGAGAACGCATGATTAATACAACACAACTGAACTTAAATAAGCTCGTAATACTATTAATGGCACAAATTTCATGCTTATTGGTTATGATATCGCTTTTCTGTAACCCTACAATTAATTATATCGGCGGTAAATCATTGAAATATTGAACAGCATTGAACAGCCGTACCTGACCGCAGACGTAATATTATTTCCGGTAAGAGAAGTATATAAATAGTTATGATTAAAATATTTTTCTCAGACATACAAGCCGACATTTTATTTTAACTGAATGTCTGGTGATTCTTGGCCACTGCATTAATTTATCAATGTAAGTAGGTTTGCAAAATAATTGCATGCCGTAAATGTGACGTCATATCACGTGACAAAGAATAATACTAATTTTGAGACATAAGCATGGAAGTTTTTTTGTTTGTTTTTTTTTTCGATTTAACTAGATTTTTTAAGAGAAAGAAAACGCTATTCTTTCCTCCCAGACTCAGTCTTAGAATCTTAGAACAGATACACTCGTAAGGTTCATGGATGCCACAATTTGGAAACTATTAATAGAGTCGAGTTTATCAAAGATTGTTAAAGCAGTAATATAAATCAATGGAGCAATGGGCAAGTGGTATAAATTTGAAAGTTTGACATGGATAAAGGTCTTTTAGTTGATTGTTGTTGCTTGTATGTAACTGTCGAAAATTATCTAATGTTGGAAAACTATGTCGATACCGTAGGTGTCTGAATCTAATATAAGAATCGTATGTCTTTGAATTTGGCACAGATTGTTTCATGACCTATTTAGCACAGAATTCAGTTTTCTTAATTTCGTGAGCACAACATTAACTTTTCTTGAATTGTTTAATTCTGTGCTAAGTGCATATCGTTCATTTCCATTCAAAATTCACAAACTCAATGTTGACTATGCTCACCATTTATTATGAACGCATTATCCTAAAAGTTAATGACCTGTCCTGTTTTTTTTATTGCGCATGCTTTTGCGTTCCAGTCTCTGTAAATATAGCATTTTCCTGTCTAACGTTGCACAATCCAGGTTAATATATTATTGGCTGTATGAATCACATAGTTTGCTCATGCGCAGTTGTATGTTAATAGATCATTAAGATAATTCAGGAAGTTAAATCTTTACTAACCAAATCACATTGTTAGAATAAATTCTCGAAATTGACATTTATTCAATTTGTTTTCCGTTTGTTATTTTATCTAAAATTGATTTAAGCAAACATTTAGTGTATATCTTATACTGTATTGTAAAGACATAGAACATCTGCATTTTAATCAAATTGACTACGAAAAATGAAAGGGACTTCAATGAGTTTGATTTTTTTACATGACGGGACTGGAAATGTTTTTTTTTAAATTAATATACCATTTGTGTATGATATAGGTCTAGACCACTTTTGAGCAAAGTTTCAGATCATTGGATCACATCGTTTTTCCAAAATAATTATTCAAATTGTTAAAATAAACCCAAATTGAAAAAGTGCTGCAACGCTTTTTACTTAGAATTAATCGAGCAAAGAATAAACTATTTCTGAGTTTATGTCTAAATTATCTATTGCACATCTTGCTGTTTTAAGTGCCCTAGCTGATCTTTTTAAGAAATTCAATTATTTGGACTTCATTAGATGGATCTAGTGACGCAAAACCACAAATGAAAAAGCACTGGTAAAACGATTTTCTTTTGATATTATGCTCTTGGATGAAACTATTTCGTAATGAATAGTTACCACCATCATTCATAATCATCATCATTATCACTGTCAACATCATCATTATCACTGTCAACATCATCATTATCATCATCATTATCATCATGAACAACCAGATTATCATAATTTACATCATCAACAGCAACGACATCAGCATCATCATTATTCGTATCAGCATCATTATCACCGTCCTCGTCACGATAACTTTTTATCAGCTTCACCTTTAGTACAAACACAAGCCGCGTTTATAGCAGGAAGAAATTGTGAACGAACATTTTTGTCATAGTTTGTTAATTTTATTTTTAGTATTGTTGTAAACCATAAATCTTCTTTCAAAAGTACATTTCTGAATAAATAGAAGCTATAAATATCTGGAGAAAAAATGATCATTTGGAAGCATTAAAAACAGTAAGATTACATGAAAATTGTAAACTTGGTTTGATTTAGTCTGTACATGAGGAATAATGAAAAAAGTCACATCTCTCACGCCCCTAGCACAGATTTGAGCGGTACTCAATTCTAAACACTTAAAAGTGATGGACTCCCGAAGGACCAGAAAAATTATAACATCACTGCAGTGAAGAACGAGGCAACTTTTTACGTCTGTCACACAACACTTGAGATGTATAAATATCTGGAAAAAAGTGATCACTCGGAACCATACAATGAAGTCAATCTATTTACACTTATTATATTGGTGAGTAATAGCTTACTGAAATAAAAAAAAATATCTTAATATGACATAATAGGAATCTAAAAATAAGACCAGGTTAGTACAAAATCCTTTCAGACAATATTCTTGCAAATGTTTGTATGTCAGTAAGATTGATAATATTCTGAGAGAGAGTGAAAATCAAAATATGATACAATGCAAAGCACTATGACAAACTTTAAATACTTTAACCTTTCATTTCTTTCTCAATAATTGTTCGAATACAACTGTCAAAAATTGATATTTTAAAAGATCATTTAGTGATTTTAAGACTTAAAAACAATGAAAATACACAAACACCTGACTGCAAAAAGTATGCAACAATATCAGACGATAAATGTATGACTGTACATGTTGATCTCATATAATGCAATATTTACTCATTAGATGTACAGAAGACATAGGAAAAAAACTAACTGTTAAAATTTCTTGTCAACAAATGTAACAGTGTCAACGCAGCTGCCGCAAAATGCACTTGAATGTTCGGGGCCCCAGATTGCTGAACAATAAAATGTCTGGTATTATCTAATGTCCCGTTGTTCGGTGACGGTGGTATACCGAGCAGTTCACATACGAGCGGATAAATGTCCACAGAGTTGAATGGGAAAGACTTGTACCCGGCCCTGATGTTTGGTCCTCGTGAGTAAAAAATTGGTTTCATAGAAGAAAGGGCGTTGTCATATCCGTGAGTGCCTTTTAGTGTGTAGTTATACTCCCTTGGACTCTATGGAAGAAAAAATACAAATATGAGTTATATCTAAGACAATGGAAGATATTTTGTTTAAAAGAAATGGATATAGAGATAAAACTAAACAATATGCTTTAATAAATGCACAGTAAATGAAGAAGAAAAGAGTAAATTTTGACAAATACTACATTAAACAAAACATACTTATAATTGAATTAATTAAGGAGGTAAATCTGCTTTTCGTGAAAATATAAGATTGCTTCAAGTACAGTATGAAAACAATCAGGTATTAGATATATTTCATTGTAAGGAGACCTAAAATTCGTGATAAACAGCAAACAGTTGCTCCAAATTCTTAACAGTGCAAGTCCAGTGAACATTACTTTATGAAGGTACACCTCCGTATGAGTATGTCTAATAAGTAATCAAAAGATCAATAATATTTTAAAAGACTAAGATAAATCAAATCAGCCAAATGCTTATTTAAAGATAACTTTTTATTACATTTGAACCGTTAAAATACCAAAATACCTGTACAATAAGCCATCCCTCATCGGCCACCGCGAGGATCGGAAGAATTCTTCTATTGTTTTTATAATGCCACTTGTCTGGTATGTCCTCTTTCCTGAATACTTGAAGATGATCAACACCGGTCAAGTTTCTGATCATTTCATCGATCCTGTTTGGCTTTGGCAGTATGTTAGATGTTGGACCAGCAACCGGAATTTGGTCAATTGCTGTCATATCAATATGCTGGGAAAGATCTATGTGTCTATTTTTGTAATCTACTTCTGTCATGCCATGGTCACTTGTTAAAAGGACGTTCACGGACTTCCATAGATCAGCCTCGTTAAATTTCTGGACAATATACCCTAAGATATTATCCATTTCTTTGACCTTTCTATACACTTGAGGTGAATTTGGACCGTACTCATGCCCCGTATGATCGGGCTCGTGAAAGTACAACATTGCAAAGTCAATGTTGAATCTAGTGTTGGATAACCATTGGACCACTGTATCTACCCTGGTCTCAAATCCGATAGTCTCTTCGTATGGTTTGTAAATATTTGGTCTATACCCTCGAATCTCTGCCTCGCTGCCTGGCCAGAAATATACGGCACTTCTGAGCCCATGTTTTTGTACTGTGACCCACAACGGTTCACCCCCATCCCACCATTTGGTCTCTTTATTGCTCATTCCAAAGATTTCATTGAAGACTGGATCATACATATGGTTGGATATAATCCCGTGGCTTTCTTCATAGAGGCCTTCAATTAGCAATAAGTGTGATCAGTTCAATAAAACAATTATAACCATTTTCATGAACCAAAAATGCCCAAAATATCACCAACAACAACATCAATTTATCAGGTAAGAATTGAAAAATGAACATATGAATTTTTATGTCAACTATCGTGTTCAAAAAAATTATAATCTAAAATCTTAATTCGGACTATTGCTTCACAGTACAAATGACATTAGACAAGGTACTGTTTTCTTGCTTGTATAAAAGGCTTGCTATAAGATTTTAACTTATTTACAACTAATTGCAACACATATGTTATAATCGCCATTCATTAAAAATTTTGCCATTCATTAAAAAATTGTTCTAATACCAAAAGACAATGTATCTTATTTAAGTTATGCGACTTTTACTTGCTTCCCGATGCCTTTACGGGTTGAGGCATCAGAATTGCAACCACCATTAAAGTTTGTAACACCCGATGTTTGCCAAAGTAATATTTTCTGTCTCGACGCCATATGTCCTATACGGTGTTGGTGCGCCGTAAAAAATCTTTCATAAGTAATTGTTTTACTCACCAGTTGCAATGGTATAATGGCAAGGAAAGGTTTTCGTCACAAATGTATTATTGATATAATCCGCTCTGGTTCCTGCAGCGGCAAATGCATCAAAATTCGGCGTATCTACATGCTTAATATAATCCCACCGGAAACCATCCATAGAGATCAACAACACTTTACTGTCTGTCGCTGAGAAGCAACATAGTGCCAGAAACACAACAACAATTATGTTGTTTATATAATACGTCAACATCATGGTGACATGTAGATCAACTTGGTATGATGGTGAAGAGAATCATACCGTACTGACCTCCGTGATAAAATTATTTATGTCGTTATCATGTAATGCTGTTATCATTGCCGTCCGCCCTCTGATAAACAAAACAATCTCATATGCAATCAAACTTGTGAACAAAGGCCATCCAAGGGAGAAACCAAACATATAATAATAATAATAATAATAATAATAATAATAATAATAATAATAATAATAATAATAACAATAATATTAAAAATAATAATAATAATAATAAAAATAATAATAATAATAATAATAATAATAATAATAATAATAATAATAATAATAATAATAATAATAATAATAATAATAAAAAACCAACTTTATTTACAGAAGGTAACACATAAAGGCTTATACAGACATTTTATTTACAATGCGGCTCCCTACATAAAATCATATCAATCGAAGAAAATATAACATGTAAAAAAAAGAAATCATTAAATGGTAATGACAGTGTTTACATAGATCATAACATACATACTGAACATTCATACAACTCATTCTGCATGTATAGACAAGCGGTTTTTATTTGGAGGTTACTTTGTTCATCAATGAAGGGTTATTGCAGAGTGCCCGTGATTACAGGGTTATCTATTTTAAGAGGTGGTCTTTAAACACAGATTTGACTATAATTTTGACAGACGGTATATTATAGTGAAAGCAAAAGGTTATCAACAGTAAATATATCTATAATTGTTTGATAATTAATAATCGCATGCACAGTTTTGAATGATTAACCTGCTGATGCTTTTGTGTAATTGATTTGCAGTGGTGAATTTCAAACAATCCAATCAAACATTTAGGGATTTCAATATCATAATATATATATTTTTTTTGGCTTAGTTAAATTAAAACTTGAGAAATTAAGCGAAAAACAATGTGTAATCAATGCTTTAGACAAGTGTGACATTGGCTTTAGAACTGGTAACCAGAATCATAAAAAAGTTTACCACCTCCACAATATTAACGTTTGGAGGTCGTTGGTCAAAATATGATTCGCCATTTTCTATATCTATAATTCGGAAAACACTTATATTAATTGACGCACTTTCTTGACGAAGACGTACAAGTGTGGTGAATATTTGCTAGTTGATGGTAGATGCCAATCAGCAAAACCATTTTTTGTTGTTGTTGTTGTTTTGTTTTGTTTTGGTGAAGTTTTTTCGTGACTGATTAAAGTATACATACAAATCTATTAGATCTTTCTCTATTTCAGCGAATTGAATTGAACAAAATACCAAAAAGATAATTTCACTGTTATCATTATCCAATGAAAATTTAAGTTTGAAGCATGGAGAATGATAAAAAATTTATTGGGATACGCCATTCAACAATTTTTTTAAATTTTTATAACAACCTGTGACTTTCTGAATGGGGGAAAATATGGCAAAATAAATCATAAAAGCGGGAAAACCTGAAATAAAATTCCATCAATTGAAAATTATAAAATTTTCAATTCCAATTCAATTTAACATATATGGTACATAGCAGATGTTATCTTTAGGGTCACCTTTCTGTTTTTCAGTCAATTAAATTTATGAACAAGCTGATGTCAGTCAGCTGCTGTTAACTCATGGTTCTAAAAAGACTGTGCACAGGGGGTTGGTGGGGGACATTAAATGGGAAAATGTAGCATTTTAAGGGAAAATATACCTATTTTGGGCTAGGGGAAACAGCCTTTATTCGACTATGAAATATAGGGGAAAAGTCACGGACAGCTGGGAAGTATATGTTATATCTAACGAGAATAATATAATATTATCTTATTTGTTTTGAAATGTAGGTCTTAATTAGCACAGTGACCATGGTATTCTACCGACTTGTTATCTTTATAGATGTACTCATTTTTGCAATATGGCATCTCACTTAATTAATCTTGATAAAACACCATCTAACATCTTGGCAGCAGAGAAATCTACGGGTATCCCGACCGTTTAATATGACTAAGTCACGAAATCATTTCATCAAAACATCTCTTATAACCATAATAAATGAATTAACAAATGCATTGTTTGAATTTTCTTTTTTTTCTATGGCATATTGTTTATAAGTTTGGCGTGCAATCTGATTCTGACTATTAAAGTATACAAACATTTTTTAAATTATTTATCATTTTTCCCTCGACATTGATTACAAATTAAAAATGAGCATTAAAAACACCACTGAGGGACACTCAAACAGGGAATATTTTGTTTAAAGACACATTATCCCTCAGAAACGAACACATCTTTCCTTCTTTATAAAAGGCAAACATAAATTTTAAAACGTTTAAAACCTAATTTTAGAGCATGTCAAATGAAATTCGTGCTAAACATTAAATTATTTGAAATTAAAGCAGCAAAATATAAACAAAGAAGTATTTTGACTTCCATACAAAATACTTAATCACTATAACTATACCAATTGCAAAAAAGATGGTTCAAATAATATCATTTTTAAAACTATAACGGGTCACAAACAATATGAAGCTTTTGAGAAATAAAAAATAAAAGATCTCGCATTTCTGGGACATAATCAGCCTTTAAGATTACTACCGTAATATGAACTAAAATAGTAGACAGTAGAATAAAACAGTGAGATTTGATAAGGATAATGATCACTCGGATGCTAAGTGAAGTTAAGATAATAGAAGTTTACAAAAAAAAAAAGAAAATGTTTCACTGGTCATCCTACTTTCACTGCACTAACAACCTGTTACGAGAAGGCCGAACCCATCCACATAAGCATATATTTTATTACATGCTTTTCGGTGGTTTATAGAAATATATCAGTGATATAAAACTGGTAATCTCACTGTTTGAAACAGTGAAATTACCACTTTGATAATTTCACTGTTTTAAATTTAAGCCCCTTACGTTGTTTTAGTGAAATACCAGCGTGCACAGTACTGGGTACCAACTTAATGACGTGACGTCATAAATGACGTCACGTTGTATTATTATTTGGCGCGCTTTTCATTCAGTATTAGGTTAATTGTCTTTTTCAAACGTTTCTTTGCATATAATAAAAAGAAAATTTGTTTAGTTTAGTGTAAGATTGAAATATATTTCACCTTGTGAACACCAAAAGTTCATATTTCACTCGTGGCTGCGCCACTCGTGAAATATACCTTTTGGTGCTCACTCGGTGAAATATATTCCGATCTTACACTGAACTAAACAAATATCCTCTATGTATTTTACTCAGCGTGGCACATACGTATCCATCAATTAACTACATTTACAAGAAATACATGCACACAAAATATTTTTATAAAAGAAAAAGAGAAAAAAAAACTTTGCAATGGCAGTGCTGCAAAGCGAAGGGGGACCACTTCGTTGGAGCTAGACCAACATGCTTGGAAGGGTTGTTTTCCGTAAGCCTAATTTGAAAATTTGAGATTTAATAATACAACGAACACATGCATCTAAGAATTCGAAGGTGCATGTGACCTTTTCTGCTTAGATGTAATATTTTCGGAATGATGAATGTTCAAGCAAGGGGAAAAAGACAAAACTATACAAGCAGGAAACACGTATACTAGTTCATTCCCTTTTACGTTGGTCGCTCATACAATAACATGACGCCCCCCACATGACGTAACTTCCTGATCTGAATCAGATTTTCATGAGATTTAAAGACTCCTGTTGAGTGCTCACTCGGACAGAGACTTGGAAGTGGGGGTCTCTATAATGTTTGCAAAAGAAGCAGCCGTTTTAAGGTCGGATTACTAATTTTTCACCGAATATGTCATATCAGAATTGGATTGTATTTTTCAGGTATATAGTACTTTGTTCGGCCAATTACGATTATAGTTCTTTCCGGAGACCAAGCAACTCGCTAAAATTTAATGCTCGACAATAAAATATCCCCACTCTGTCCTTACTGTCTACACTTTACCATATAGATACGCTGTACTATGCTATCAATACATGTTGATTTTTTTCATTACTTAAAGGCCCATTATGCCTAAGAAACGCTTTTATTTTTATTCCTCAAAAACTTTTTACTTTTATAGTATCTAAAAAGTTACTCATTGGTCAATTACCGGAACCATCTTTTGCATCTGTTGCTTTTTTGCAGTACAGTTATAGTGAATTAGTATTTTGTACGAAAGTCAAAATACTGCTTTGTTTACATTTTGCTACTTTTATGAAAAAATTATTTTAAATATATCACTACTTTCTTCAGGTAACAAGTATCTAACATTCTTTAAAACATTATAAAATTCATGTTTGCGCGAACTTAAGAAGTAAAAGTTTCCAAGACATATGTGCCTTTAAACTGAACTAATCATTATATATGTTGCATTTCATGTTTTATGGCTATAAATAAACGTATGTAAGTTATGTTCCATTCGACTCTCTTATGCTCAGTACATGCTCTGCTTATAATAAGCACATTTTAAATTTCACACTGTGTTCATATTAGTCACACTTTTAGTGCTTTGTTCTATATAAGAGATTCACCATTTCTTGAGTTCAATGAGGAACTACTCTTATATATCAATCTCATTATGGAAATGTAGTTGTCTCCCTCTAAACAGGTTCGTTTGTTATATTAATACCAAACTCTCAACAATTGGTTAAATTTATTTTACTTTAAGATGGATCTTATTATAACAAAAATTGTAAATTCTTTTTCCCAATGAAACTTAGACCGAGGAAATACAAATATTTTAGAAAATATTTGTGTATTTAAATAATCATTATAAATCATCCTATTGAAATTTATGTAATTTTGAATTTCTTAAACTACCATTTCGAAGATAAAATCTTATAATACAGATATATAAAAAACAAAAATCAATGACTTCACCTAAACATTAATTCAGTTATTATTTAATATTATATATCAACCAGTCAAGAAGATATTTCAGAATTTCAAAATATTTCAAGAACTGATGAAATGTAAAGTTTCATTTGCAAATGACTACAGTATAAACATCCGTTATTCAAAATGGACTCTTTTTTATATTTTGGTTCATGTTTTAATTGAACGCTATTTGAAGGCCGTCCGTGGCCGAGTGGTTAAGGTCGTTGAATTCAAACAACTTGTCATTCACCGCTAAGGGATCGAATCCCGACAATCCACCATGGATTGTTTCATTTGAGGAAGCTATCCAGCTAGCTCACAGAACGTCGGTGGTTCTACTCTGGTACCCGTTCGTGCCGGTAATAATGCACAGAAGGCACCTGAGGTATTCCTCTGCCAGTAAACGGGAATGTCGCCATATGACTTCTACTGTGTTGGGGTGACGCAACCCCCCCCCCCCCAAAAAAAAAGTCACTCACAATAAAATAATCTGTAAAATGAATAATTTTATTTTTCATCTACAATGTATTAGATATTTTCAAAGACTGCACTTTGAATGTTTTGAACATTATAGTTCGGACTTTCGGGTCTAAAACGTTTGATGTATATCCAAGGCATTAGCTAAATAAGTTTTGTCGGTTGGTTCTTTGTACTTTTTAAGTCAAACGTTACTTCTTCATTCTATGAAATTCTTTTTTATACATTGTATATTGCATTCTATGAACTTTTACGTTTATAAGTTAAAGCTATTTTAATTCAAAGTAGTTTTTATCTACAAAATGCTGAGAAGCGATCTCTGATTTTCCATTCCCATTATTCATTTAAAATAAATTCCGCTTCTAAAATACAAAGTCATTGATTTGTGAAGCCTCCGTTGTTATAATTTCTGACAAAATTGAAATCCGACTTCCTGTTCAGCTATCCAAACGAGACTGGTAAAACGTGACACGGAGCCTGTTAAAACGATTACAGCATTCTCAACCATGCGGACTTTGACAAGAACATGCTTGCCGACACGAAAACCGCGTAGAGAAATCCGCATTAGTCTCTGTCTTTGTCAAAACAACATCTCTATCAACACGTTAATTGGCTGGGCTTATGAGAAAATGATCAGGCATGTGCCAATCAAAGTCGAGCGCCGACGCTTGATGGACGGTTATACATTGTACATAAATTTTGGCTTATGACTGAGACACGCGGTTTTCCCATTCTTGCATCTACTTTAACTTATTATGAATTATTTGTTCTCTCAACGAAAACATAGATTAAGCCATTCTTATCTTTTATTGTTCCAAGTGTTCTTGAAGTATGACGTTATTCAAAGAAAATGAAATGCACGTGGTGAAAGCATATTCGACTCAAAGACAGGCATTTTTTTATGGCTTTTTATGACAGGTTTTATATGATCTCAAAAAACTCATTACATCATTTTGTATACACCAGTAAATGCAAAATCCTATTCACTAAAACGTCTCAAAATGGTTTGGAAATTTATAAATTATTTTGTTTTTCTGTCCGTTCTTGATTAATTACTCTTTCTTATTATCAACATCGCCATTCCTTTACGTTTTTCTCATTCCTAGCTAATGTATCTAAGTGCTTACTGATAATAGGTCATTAATTTAGAAAGAATATGTGCGCTGATTTTCTTATATCTTTTACTTCAACATGCACATGACTGACAGATTAGGAATTCGCTATTTTAGGAAGTGTGGTATAGATAATGGTTGTACCAGTTCAAGGAAGGACGATAAAACTGTAAAAAATGACATATCAAATATTTCCTGTTGATACATTGAAACAACAACAACAACAACAACAACAAAAACAAACAAACAACAAATCATTTCAGTGTGTAACCTTGAATTTAGTTCCATACCTTCGTCATTAAGTCGTGAAAAATCGACAAACTCCGTTATTTTCAGTTCAGTGGTTCGTGGATTCAGTGGTGATCCTCTGCTACTCTTACTATACTCACTAACAATCTTTCGGGGAGAATTTAAAACCTTAGGTCTAGTGTAATGTTGGAATGTAGACATGTATGCTCAACTTCTTCTTCTTCTTAAAAAAATGTAATTACTTTGTTAACTTTTATTCTGGTTGCAACGATAAATAAAAGTGTATCATATACATAGAGCAACAAAAATGCTCCCAGCTTACTGTTTACCAGGCACATGATGACCTTTGCCGGGGTTATGGAATATGCCGGACACGGCCGGGTAAATGAGACGGAAATTGCCGAAGCTGGTCAGGTTTACGAGACGACAGCTGTACTATTTTTTGTAATTCAGGGCAGATTCAAGAAACAAAAAGACAAGTGTTGTTTGTTTTGTTTTTATTGTATAGACAGACATGAAGTTATTGTCGTTATTTTAAGACTAACAGTTAAATATGATCGCAAATGAAAAAAAAACTGACCAAATTTTTACAGAAAATAATTAATTCTCTATTTACAAAGATAAAAATCAAATGTGCATATAAAATGTAAGAGAATGTTAAAGAGGCAATAGACGCAAAAATGATCAAAACATAAACTTATAATATAATGAGAGGAAGGTTAAAGGTTAAATGAATTTATCATATTTTATATTGAAAATTAAAGGTCAATTTCTATAAATAGAAATGGGAGAAGCAAATTTTCTATGGTAGATGATTGGATATTGGCCTTTAAAAGTAAAACAAACTTAAATACTTCGCCAGATACGATGCAGAAACAGCTCGGGGGTAAATTATTTGTAAGAAAAGGGATGTAAATAAAATTAAGCAAATTTACTATTAATTTGAAGATTGCTTATTTTTAATAATTTAAATACTTAAAGAAAATCTCACAATATAGCTAAACTAAAGTATATTCTATTTCATACTAAATGCAACCAGGTTCTCCCCAATGTATCAACAAAGCCAAGGACTGATTTGGATTGAAAAACAGCGCTACTCGAAAGAAAATACTCGTATTAAATTAACTATAACAAACTGTTCATTTTCCAAATAGTGTTACTTTAGACCTTTGGCTAAAGCCTTTTATTAATCATTAATGCAGGCAAGAAAAATTAAATGTTTTGAAAAACAGTATTTATTTTTATTATGAGTTTATTTTAAGGGTACTGTACGATGTGAAAATATAATATCATTGCGACACGAGCTAAAATGTTGTTTGATAAGCTGTGTTTTGCATTAAAAGAACAGAAAGTCCTACAAATATAACTTATTGGACAATATACGTGTATGACAAGATTTAACAAAACGAACCTTACATCAGGCCGATCATCGTTTTACCATTAAAAACCCTGATAAAAATAGATTTGAAATAAAAGATATTGTGTAACAAAATTTTGTATTTTAAAACCGGTTTATTATTCTACAAATTTGACGATTCAGTAGCTAAAGTATTCTTTAGAAAAAAAGCTATGAAAATTCTTAAAACTAAAATTATTTCGACTTGAACACAGTTTTAACAACACCTTTTATATAAAAAAAATTCCTCAGTAATGAATTATAATTTTTTTGTCAATATTAGTATGTTCTGTTGATACTTTATTCATTCACTTCTAGGTAATTTCAGATTCTGTCTGGCGTGCGTGCAAGATTGAGAAATAAATGCGTCTATGCATGAAACATTAGATAGATAATTTATAAATACTAAAAGAGTTCATATGAAAGTGCGAATATTGTAGTAAGAAATAAATTGCAGTGTTTTTTTTCATATCATACTTTATTATTTACTTTTCTTTTGCAAATAAAGGTGTCTAATTTTCCGGAAAAAAGGTACACAAATGCAAAAATATAGATAATGATTTTAGAAAATCATCGGTTATCTACGAATTTGCTTTTATCTCACTTTAAACGTTACCTGGAAAAAATCAAAATACACAAGAAAAAAACTTTGACAAGAAATAAATGGTTTACTACTTAGCAAGTTCAACACAGTGAAAATAGTGTCTAGCATAAAATAAACTTTAACGATTGTAAAAACATGTATCATAGTACATTGATTTTTAATTTTTGATAGTTTTATACAAGTTAATCAAAGATAGGAGGGAAATACTTTTAAAGGTGCTCTTTTTTCTAAAATTTCATGTCATAAACAAGCTTTTATAATGTATGGGAATATATGTATTGTTAAAGCAAACATGAACAATTTTCATTACATATAGAATAATAATAAAATTGCAGTGTTTCTATAAGTGTACCAAGTGAAGGTTGTGTAGGATACATAATTATATCCTACTTTAGCAAAAATCTATCACTACTGGCCTCTCTGCTACCACGTGTCTCAAAGTCACGTGTCTGCCTCCCGCAGTCACGTGCTTAATGTCAATATCATCTGCAATATTCCGAATACTTCGTTAACGTTGACGGAATCACGTGTCAGATTACGTCACATGTTACGCCACGTGTACATTTTCTCTTTTATATCCGTAAACTAAATTGCCTTCCAATAGCAATGTCTACTAACACTTTTCTTCGTAATTTTCACTAATTACACGATGAATTTTACTATAAATGTCACAATAACAAGTCAGAAATGCTATCTATAGTAAATAAACTTTTTTTTATAAAGAAAATAAACATCGTTTCACAACCACATATTTATAGCTTTTCTGATAATGGAAGAAAAGCGCCGCTTCAACTGAATTTGACAAGCACATACACAACAGCTTTTAAAACGTAAATAAAAACTATAAATTAACAGTATCACCTGTAATGTATTGTGATAATCACTGTCTAATTTAGTCTTCCAACATTGAATCATCACACAAAAAGTCAGATTTTTCCATTCACACTTTTCGCTTCACAGTCCTCTCTCACTACTTTGAGTATTTGTTTTATCCCAGTACATGTCTTTTCAACTTTAGTTTCGGGACAATCTTTTTCGTTTTCATAAAAAATGTCTTTCCATGTTCTGTAAAATTTATCACGGAAAATGAGGTATATTAAATATTTACATATATTTTTAGATATCATGTAATACGTTAGTCTTCGTCATACCCCACGCGCCGACATTTACCACGTGCTTCCGCTTTCATGTATTTCCGTAACCGGCGCTGCCATTTTGTTCTCCAAGCCCGAACAATACTTCGCCTGTCTGCGACTAAGCCAGGTCTAGACACAGTTGGATTCAATTTTCCAACTATTAAATACTTTTCTTTAAGTTTAATTCTTGGACATTTACATCGCAGATCTTGTTTTGGTACCCACAGTAACGTCTCGCCACGCCTATTTAGATTCTTGTCCGGGGATTTCTTGTAGATGCTCAGGATGTTGACGGTAAATTTAACCCATTCTCCAACATTTTGTTTGGCAACAACTTCTGCTTTTACAGCTGTAATAAAAGGGAGAAGTTTGATTATTCAACCTATTTTATCAGGACCCTTAATACAATTATACAATGACATCAATACAATGCCTTCAAGATACAAAGTAAAACATTATTTTGTTAATATTTTGTTTAGTTTCCTGCTATTTACTAACACGCAGGTTGTATTTTGAGGCCAATGTTGATTGTAACTACATATTGTATGTGTGCTTTTATGAAAACAGTTTTTATCCGACTAAGTTTGAAGAAAATCTTTCACTATCGTTTCTAATACTAGGATCATGGGTAAACAACGGTCACTAATTTAATTTCACTAGACTGACCAATACAACAATGTGTGACTTTATACCCAGCTTACAAATGGATTATATATACGTATGATTAAATTGCAAAAAAGATAAAAAGTTGCTGTTACGGCTTACCAAAGTGTCGTCTGCAGTATTTCTTCAGTTTCAATTTTTTGTTGTTATTACATTTATTGTCACAAGCACCGCCTGAAAGTAATAAAAAAAGTTGAAAATATGTAAATTGACCTACTACGAATTAAGATTTCTAGTAGCAAAAGAAAAACATGGTAAATGGACGCATCAGACATTCATAGTCGCCATATCTCCATTTTAGGGTCATTTTTGTTGATTACGGTGTCCTGTTTAGGCTAACAACCATCATTGCATATACAGGTATATAAAAGCTCCGTAACTTTGATCAAAGCAAATAAAAATCGAAATTAAAATTAAATTATGAAATGGAATTACTTTTATTCAAATCACGAAGCTAATTTTAAAGTATAATGAAATTATAAAGTGCTACTTACGGTCTGGTTTGTCTGGACGTGGACCTGGTCCTGGCTTTTGAGGTATTTCTGTAATAGAAAATATATATTTACATCAATTGATTCGCTTATAAATCGGAATTTTGAACGTGTCTAGACAACAGTTACCAGTATACTTGCAGTATGAAAACGCGAAAAACATGCAATAGTATTCAATTATATAGTACATTATTTTGTATTTGATATATACATTTACATTTTGTGCACGGCAATGTTAAGCAAAGAATGAAATATCAAGCGTTCGTATTCATTTTGGTTTTCTGCTTTTATTACAGTTGATTAGAAATACTGAAATATCTGACAAAAAACCTGTATTATCTAATGTTTGATTAATGTTATATCATATCCGGGATGATGAAAGCAATGGTTAATATCATTTATCGACGAAACAATAAATCTTGTCCCTCTTTCATATACAATCTAAACATTTAATCAAGTATCTGTCTGTGGAAATTTGAAATTTTAATTTTAAAATCTCAGTTCGTGTTTTAAATATATGAAGGTTGTTGGTTCAAATCTGGGTATAACGTGTTACTTGTTAGTCTTACTGATAAAGTGTGAGGTCTTAAATCGATTTGCAAGATTTATTGATGAACAAGATGTTGTTTTAGAACGGATGGGCATCTGGGTAGAAGTAGAACTAAAGTTTATGTGCTTATACAATTCCTCACACAAGATATAATTCGTCGTATCTAGAGGTATTCGAACTCAAAGTGGCATGGGGGATGTGATTCTAAATCACGTGACCTCAACAAATATGACGGCAATGATGTTTTAACATGGTGTTAAGAGAAAAAGTTTTAACAATTGACTTACTTATGCAAGGGGCGATTGGCGATTTACTTTGTTGATATCCCGGTGCACACCTATCACAGGTTAGGCCGATGACCCCGTCTTTACACGGACATTGTCCAGTAGTTGCATTGCACGTCTTACCAAGGGCCCCAACTGGATGACAGTCGCATGCTGCAAATATATATACATGATGGGTAAACAAATATTTTAAACAATGAAAAATATACTAGTCACTCTTTTGCAATACTTTTTTTTTCATTTCTTGTAAAAATACATATATTATTTTCGCTCTCACACATATATTGTTAAACAAAGCCAGTATATGTTCCCATTCTACCTAATTAAAGTCCACAGAGATCTCAAAATAACAAGAAACTCAACAGCTTTCCTGTAAGGCTAATAAAGCAATAATATTTGAAGCCTAATAGAATGATTTTTTCTCGTATGAAGGTTATTCTACCAGAAGATTTATCAAAACAGTGTGTTCCATCGACTTTCGAATCGGCAAGTGTGTTAATATTTTGATCACAATTGAATATTCTTAAAAATGTAGCAAAGTTACAGAAAAAATAAAATAAAAAAATCTAGATTTTGGTTCGACGGGAAATTAAAACTTAAAAACACCATTATATTTTTTGTATCAACAATTCGGTAATCTACACAACATAATTAGAGAGTTTTACACATATCTTTTTATATGATTTTTGTTCGACTGCCGGATCTACCTTGTATGTTAAACAAAACAGAATCAGTACAGAATGATTGCAGTTGCCGTAAAAACAAAACAAATAGTCTGTTGGAGAACGGTTCAGAAAGAATTAATTAAAACAAAACATGATTCGATTAGCATTACCAGATCTCGACGCGGTGTATAACTAGGAAGCTGTTCCGACCTGCCAAGTGCGCCTGCTTAGAAAGGTGTCAATGTAAATAAGGCCAATAAAATAAACATTGGACTTACAGGTGTCATTTTTGTTACTTTTAGTGGTAAAAGAAACCTTTCTATTTTGATTTTTGGTACTAAAATGCAAAGACATACTATGTCTGGATTCATAGAAATATAATCTTTTCGGAATCAGAAAAGAAAGGCATTAAACATTGGTAATATTCATACATAAACAAGCCTTCTTATAACTTTGAAATAACAAAGAAGACAAACAAAGACTGTACTGTAACTGTTTGTTTCGGTTTTGGAAAACAAAATAACCATACGTTTCCATTGACTGTTTTCGTTTAAACATTATTTTGCAAGCCAGAACAATAGAGCTTTAGGGAATTGCAATTACTGCGCGTGAGTAAACGTAATTGAGAAAGTAGTCCCTCTGGTACCATTATAAAGGCTACTGGTTCCCATCATGAACATATCATTTCCTTTGCAAATAATCAGGTTTGAACTTTTTTCCTATTTAGAAGCTCATTTCTGCATGGTTTTATCGACTAAGATCTTTCTAACAATCTTAATCGATCAAGAATAATGATAATTGCCAGTGGTTTATGTTTTATTATTGCATACATTACCTCCTTAATGTTGAAAGTTAATCTCTTAAAAGTATAGTTTATTGTCCAGTAAATTATACTTAAATTCTAAATAGGAGCATCATGATAAGGCAGAAATGAGCGGAGAGTTTCTCATCTCCATAACTTTAACATCAGTTATCATTTCACTTGATCATTATATTGCATAGACGCATTTAGCATAAGCTATTTATTAGTTATATTTATCATTTTGAAATAATTAAACAATAGTATATTTAAAAGCATTTTCCAAATATCAATTATTAGTTTTTGAACCCTTTTCACGATAAGTATCTTAAATGGAATTGTCTTTCTTAAAACCTGGTCAAAATCATTCACAAATTTTAGGGAAATTTCATATAATAAGTGCTGACTGAATAGCAAAGAGTGCAGATCATGAACTTGGGTCTGCACTGGTCGCATGTGTACATGCAAGATCAGTTGTCGCGAGCATGCTGAGGGTTAATTAATGCTGAATCATCAACTTCACAATTTTTAAAGGGAGATTGATTCATTTTTTAAATACAGACGCCATTCTTAACCGTTTAAATAGGTGTACCTAACAGCTCGATTTAGTAATTTCAAGTGGATTTATGCTTGTGATTCTAATAAAGGTATTCATTTTAGCATAATATAAACATCAATAGATATGCTTCTCAGCGAATGTTCCTATTTAGATGATCGATTTGAACTTAAAAACTTAAAACACTTGACTTGGATGCTTTTATTATAATCTGAACTCTATAAAATGCAATCCTAATGTATTTCATACTTCGTTTTTATTCCTTTTTATTCCCACTAGCATGTTAAAGATCCGAATTTTGCACAAAAAGTATAAAGCTTTTGATTGTGTCTCAAAATAAAAAAAAAGAGATTTTTTTTACATAAACATCTTGTTGATACACAAATACAACGCCATGTCAGTTATTATGTTTGTTTTTATGGAAGTAACCTTGACCTTCGTTTAATATAGTGTTGAAAAGTCAGGCAAATAAAAAAATCGTGTAATGTTTTATTTGAAAAAAAAAAAAAAAAAAAAAAAAAAAAAAAAATAAAAAAATAAAAAACCGGATAATGTTAAAAAATATGTCATTATCTCGTTCTAAAAAACAATTCACACATTCCGTAGAAAATCTTTATCAATTGTGTCGAAATGGTTCGGTTAATGGTAAATAATACTAAATTTCAACGAGTTCAACTTGTACTTAGCATTTCCAATTTTGTTACTTGAATGTGAAATAAGTGCCTTTTTAAAACCACTTCAGACACCGAGGAAGGATTTTACAACTATGAACTTTTAAGATATACTATTAGATTATTCTTTCCGTTGTCTTAAACCCCCACACATCCTCATAAAAGGCTTTGCTTGAGGCTTTATTCTATAAATAAGTTCTCTCTAAAAGTGGCACTTGCCTGAATCGTTATTGTTGCAGTTTTAGAGTTGTTATAATAAAACAAGTAACTAAACACTACCTCCACGGAATGTATAAATCATTGTTATTTTAACTACTTTTTTTGAAGGACAAGTACTGTATACTATTTATTTAATATGAATAATTTATCAACAACTGACCAACATGTAGTGATTGCTACCAAATGGCTTTTTAATTATTTTAAAGGCTAATAGCTGTAAACTTTCGTCTTATTCGTCACTTACTTCAAAAAAAAATTAAAAAAAAAATATATTAAAATATTATATTCTTATTTTCATAGTTTGCAGTGCAAAAAAAAAATATGGCAGAACTTAAATGGCACTGAAACTATTCATAATATAACCATAACACTGTAATGTGTTTTAGAAATTTAAAATAACTTTAATCATTCACTGCAATGCCAGTTTGTATGGTATTTTGTGTTAAAATTTCTGATGAAAACTGATGCATGCTTTTGTCCCAAAGTGCAGCTTGTCATATTCTCATTTTATTCTACTTATTTCTCTAATCTCTCGAAGATAAATTTTCCCTGTACTAATTATTCAACAAGCAAGAATCAGACAAACGTTACAATCTAATTTATTTTAAGAATGCCTGCAAATAACTCAGCAATTTAAAAAAGTTACCGTATCTCGAAAACGGATGTTGCACTACGCATGTCAAAACTAATGCGGAAGTGACATACGCCATAATGAGGTCGAGTTTGCTATCAATGAAATGTTTCGAAAATGAAATGAATGCTTATAATAATTATGATAAAAAAAACAATAAGGACACCTTACAGCCATGTATAGAAATAATTCTCATTGGTTTTGGTTAACGTAAAATTATGATGTCACTAAATGATCAGACACATTCAGTTTAAAGTAACCGTGACTTAAAATATTTTAGATAAAAAAAGTTCATATGGTTATTTACAATTTACTTAAATGATACTGGTTTTCATAAAGTGTTCAGATCATTTACATACATTTATTTTTGTTTTTATTATCACTAATAATAAGTAACATAAGTATCCTAAAACACAAAAGGTAGTTTCGTTTAGAAATTCACCCTTTGTAATTGTATACATATTTTGAAACAAGATGAAAAATGGGGTAGATTATGTACGAAGTCGCGGGTAGAATTTTTGATGTACTGACACTGATTTTGACAGACGGTGTCACACAGTAAACCACCTCGATGAAATTCTACCTGGGAACTCGACTCGAATGATGCTCCGTCACGTAAACCTTGTTCTTACAACTGTCATGAATAGTAGATATTACAGTACCGGTGACCTACTTGTTCCACTCGAGATGGATATGTATTATTTCATGCATATTTTTACAGCTACGCGGATCTGATTAAGTACAATATCTCCCCTCTTGAATAATAATTTTATAGATGTGTTTTCATTATTACAGAAGACATTTTAAATAATTTTCAGCGTTCTTTCTACTACCGGTTAATGTCTAAAATAATGGCCCAATTAATGGTTCAAATCTGGAAACTGTTCATCTAAATATAAATTTTATAGTTCGGCTTGGCAAATGTATATTCCAAACTTTGTACAAGTTTGTGCGCTCATATGCTTTTAAATATCGTAAATGAGGCATTCAAAAACATCTGTTTCAGAGGGTTTTTTTTCGAAAAGATTTTGCAACAAAAACTGTTTTTCATTCAACAATGAAAAAAAGGCTCAATGGTGATATATTTTGAAAATAACACAAATGTTATATAAAATCTTCTACAAGATGTCGTCTCCTTTTTTTGAAAATAAATCTGCCACTTAATTCAAGTTGTCAAGCTTCTATCACTGACGTGAACAATGTACAAGAATAGTTTAAGATAGCCTATAGTGTGTAGAAAGTATGTGTTTACCTTTGCAAGCTTTTCTATGGGTAATATCCCTTCTTTTATCTCTGTAAAACCCCTCCTTACAGTGGTTGCAATACCGGCCTTCGGTTTGATGTCGGCACTTCCGGCACACGCCGCCACTTGTGTATCCCGACAATTCGTACAGCTCCATGTTAAATCGACAATGCTTGGCGTGAAGGTTACAGTTACAGGCTGAAAGTATAAGAGAAACGGAAATGGTAAAAATGGATTTAACTCAGCAGTACCTCTAGACGCTTGACAGAAATCGTGATCACAATGTAGAAAATTATCACTTTGTTTCGTCGATTCTTATATATTTCATTTATAATCGTATATAAATCGGTGCACGGAGATGAAATAATCGATTTAAAATGCATGTTGTCTGGTGAAAAGGCGAGATTTTATCACGCCTTGTCCAGTATTTACTGGTATTTAGTGTGGTCCTCCCACACTTTTTTTAGTCTCATTCATAGAAATATATTTCAGAAACTAATCTTTTTCATTAAAGCTAGACCTGTGCTTCTCTTTCTAGAACTTGTAACATACAGGGTATATGTATCTATAAACAAATGTCATTTTACATAATATTATATCGCTGGACTAGCATATAAGCCGTTATTGTCCTTTATTAGTTGATAATGTAACGGTCATATGAGTATGAATTTTGATATTGTTATCAAAACGTTGCTTTCCAAAAATGTCTTTGCAGTATCGGTGTTTTAACATTGAATCATATCAAATATATAACTACAATTACTGTATAGACTTTTCTAAATTGATTTGCGTCAATTTGAGGTGGTTACTATGAATGGGTGGTCGCGACACTATCAATATTTTTAATGTCATTAGCCCCTACATCACGCTAAACTATTTATCTAATATACGTATCTTTTTACCAAAGAGCCCACATGAAATTAGAAGTCAAAAATATTTAATGAATCAACAATGAAAAGACGGACATATTTAAAGGCCTTATTTGATATGTTCTTTCAAAATTGTGGTAAGCATTTAAGAAAAAAATTGTTGAAATGATAAATGACGAGTGTGATAGTGGAGGTAAAAATATGGGCAGTATTTGTTTGGTGTTGTATATCAAAGTTATATCTATATAGAACATGAACGAGGCTATGAATATAGAATGTTATTCAACATTATACACTTGGTTTTATAAAGAATATTTTATCTTACATCTAGTTGTAACAGTATATTGCAAATAAAAACATACTTTTTATAGCGTTGAATGGGGTGTATCTAATCAATTAATCGTAATGGAATGCAAAAATTACAAGCGAGTTCATAGTAAAGGTTAATTTGAGTAAAGGCCTGTCCTTGTATACCATTTTTTAATATAATAAATAGATTTATCATCATAAACAACAACAGACAACAGCAACAACATTATCACCATCATCAATAAACAACATAATCAACACCAACATATACACGAATAAAACAATATTTATCATCAAAGCATCCCATACTATAATTTCTTCATAAGAATAACATTTTCAAAATGACAAAAAGTGGAACATCTTGAACGAAAACAAACGCATAAACAGTGAAATATTTTTTTCTATCATTTATTCATACCCCCAAAACGCTATCATCCAGTCTTGATATTTTCTTTGATATAATGATGTAATTTTCTCATGGTAATTTTCATCCATTAGTAACATTTTGAGGCAGTAACCGAAGACAAATAGTAATTTGTTACGGCAAGATATTTCCTAGGTAAATTAATTTCTCAATACCTAGGATATTAGTATAATTCATGTATGCATTTCGTTTGCCAAATAATAAAGACCTACAGCGACTGCCATCTTGTTTCCTACAGTTACTCTCATATTAGTAATATTAGATATAAAATAAGTATATGAAGCTTGTATCTTTCTATCTGTTAATACTAATGACCAAGTCTCGTGAAAATTCATTTTTACTAGATTTTAAAATCTTAACATCTCTGCGCACTTGATCATATATGCAGGAGATTATTTTCAACAGATGTAAGTCGTGGTTGGTCTTTAATGTAAGAAAAAAAAAACGTCTATGAAAGAAATATTTGTTTACCATTTTAATGAATAAATATTCTCATATATTAAAACTGAATTTTGGAATCGGACGTGGGAAAGGGTACTTCTGAAGGGACCTACTGACATTTTGAGTTGTTTATATACCCTCCATTTTCATATTCTTGTTTACTTCTGTCCCAGAATAACACTGCATGTAAACACAAAACAAATGTTAACTACAGACAAAAAATAAACATACTGAATGTACATTTCTCGTGAATTCTCAATTTGAACAAAACATAACTTTTTAAAATCAAAATAAGACTTGAACACGTATTTCAAAAGTGAACGTTATGTTCCGAAGGAACTTTTGAAAAATATTAACCATGTTCATTATTCAAAAAATTGACTAAATGAAGAACTTGTTTATCGTATATAATTACCAATCAAAGCTTACAGGTGCTCTTCTTTGAATGAACTAAAATTAATGATGTTACGTTCGTACGATCTCTTTCATTGAACTTAGGGTAACATTAAAAGACACAATTCAGATGTTATCACTTAATATTTCTTTAAAATAAGCTGCTTTTCATAAAAGAGTGATTTTATGCTCAAAACAAATTATCATTTTTAACATTGAATGTTTTTTCCCGACATCTCTAATCCTAAACCTTGTATTCACAGACACGTGTATACTAGTAAAGTTATTAATGTATGTATACAGTAATTTCATGGTAGAAGTTATAGATCGCGTGAAATGACAACGTTGCATTCATAACCCACAGCGTTACTGGGTCGCGTGAAAACGCCAATAACGTTGAACAAAAGGTTCCCTGGGTGCGACATTACACTGGCAATTTTATAGTTACTGCGTTCTTAAGAAAAGTCGTCTGCTTTGAAAGCATTAGGCTCGGTTGTAAGCTTTCTAACCGCGGATCTATTGAAAATTATGAATATTTATTATAATACGAAATTTATTAGTGGCCTGATTCAAAATTGATGACTTTTTATCAGTTTCAAATGTATTTTTCGCAAGGAATGGATTGATATAAAACTTCGCACGAATATTGTGAAAAGGAAAAATTTGAAGCATAATATGTAGTTAAGATATATCAATGGAGAAATGATTTAAGATGATCGACAAAAGAAAATGATGTTAACATCTGTTTTGGGTACTTTTTATACCACTGATCTGACTGCTAATTTTGCGTTCCCTCTTATTACATGACGATATAAAAAAACTGCAGATCCACGTTATAACAAAAAAAGCCTTTCAAGACGGATTCTCAAGAAGACAGTTTTATATTGTTAAGCTTTAAAAAAATATATAAAATAAAATATTTCTGATCTAGAAAATTAAGTGATATGTACATTTAGTAATTTCATATTTATATATGGTAATATGAGTTTGGTTTAAAGTTAGTTATTGTGTGGTAAAGACTGATACTGATTCACTAAAATGTACAAAAATAAGGGGGGAAAAGTATCGTTTAGAAGTGATATTTGATATACACTATAATACATATATCTACAATATTTTACTGAAAGAAATCACGCAATATAGTTGATATAACGAGGACAAAACACTACTTAAAAATTACAAAAAATATATATTTATATACGGTCAGTGAACAAAAAAGTTTGGGACATAATTAAAACCACATTTTTTGATATCATTATCAACAGATCAGTTTGTCTTTTTCGCTTCAAACAGTAATCTTTAAATAACTATTTTGTCTTATTTTCAACAGTGTTAGTCAACTATTGTATAACAACGATTTTTAGAAATGTCATCTAGATTTGAAGATCCTATACGTATCTTCAATGCATTGCCTCGTTATATGATATGATAGACTTGTAAGTAAATTTAGCTGAAGAGGCAACGTCTCGAACTTTTTAAATAACAAGTCCGAACATTCAGATTGAAGCCGTATAGAACGTATCAAATGAACACAGAATTATGGGTAATTTATGAGTCGAAAAGATGAGAATATGTATTGAATATTATGTATTTGAACCTTTGCCCATTGCTACCACACAAGGGTTCCTAGGGAACGTTCTATAAGAGTTCTATATATAACTATAAGGTTAACATGAATTGTTTTTAAAAGAAAAAATCACTTGATTTGCGCGGATGGTTAATTTCACAGTATATTAAAATCAATTAACTGAATAAATATATAATATTTTACACATTTCGTTTCATGAAAACTAGTGTGCAAATAAAACTGCAGTTAAAACGATCTTTATCAGTGAAAAATTGATACCACGAGATAAACCATCCCTGTAATTTCCACAGCTTTACAAAATGTAATAAATGATTCCCTGTTACTGATAAGCTATCAAAATGCACGGGTTATTGAATACTCGTGTAATCAAAGAGTTAAAACATATCTGAAGTCATATTTTCCCACTTGCGTTATGATGAATTGAGGTTAAAGTTCATAAATATAATAACATACATAAGGGAGGGTCGGTAATAATTATTCCTTTTGAAATATACTTTAATTAATAAAAAAAATTACAATATATGCGAAAATTGAAATTAATTAAACGGAAAGAATAACTGCTAACCGTAATATTGAACTTCTTCTAGAGTCATTAACGACGAACCTTAGTGAATATGTTACTGGATGAAAAAATGCATGCTTTAGAATTTCCCATTACTTTATGGTTTTCTTCTTCTTTTTTCATGTTCAATGAATGCAGATTCGCACAATAAACTCATATGAGCCGCGTCATGACAAAAGCAACATAGTGCGTTTGCGACCAGCATGGATCCAGACCAGCCTGCGCAGTCTGATCAGGATCCATGCTGTCCGCTATCAGTTTCTCTACTTGTAATAGAGTTTGTAAGCGAACAGCATGGATCCTGGTAAGACTGCGCGGATGTGCAGGCTGGTCTGGATCCATGCTGGTCGCAAACGCATTATGTTGGTTTTGTCGTGACGCGGCTCATATTTAATTAAACAAATCTCACAAGAGAAGTTAAATGCCCTTTGAAATGAGTATTTAGCGAAATTTCAAACTTTTAACATTTCAAACCTCACAAACGTCATTTTTATTTTTGAAGATGTAAATTTGAATTTAGATTCTATATTTACGAAGGCATCGACAGTGTGTTACAAGCACGAGAGAAATGATGCTCCGCACGAGTCTAAAGATCGAAAACAATTAGACGAA